ATCACTATCAGATGATAATGTTTCCATCTGAGGGCGAATTGCCTTCCTTAGACTTTCAAGAGTTACGCGCCTTGAGACATGCCTTTTTGGGCGTGAATTCTCAACGGGCTCTTGGACCTCAATGCGCAAATTAGCGCGCGCAGTTGCCTTGAGCTCCTTGTCATGTTGGAGGTGGCGGCGACCCCCAGCGTGTTGATTCGTTCGGGGCTTTTTTAGTGGGCCCAAACGTTCTTGGATCGGAGCTTTGCTTCGCTCATCGGGAATTGGACCGAGGCGCTCCAAGACTGGCTTTCTTCTTCGGGAGGATTCTGCATGATCTCCCGGAGTAGCTATGGGAATTCTCGGCGACTTAGCTGGGTTCGCTCAGACTTCGGCCTCCAAACTTTGCGAGTTGGTGGCGGCTTCTTGGCCACTTCTTTCTGCAACTTTCTACGGGCTTCTTCGGCTTGAGCCCGTGCCTGCGCTGATAGTGCGTGGCGTTTGCGGATGCGTTCTTCCAGCGTCGAACGATTCCGTTTGACACGGACCCATTCCATTGTTGGCGGCTTGGAAGAGGCGCCGTTCATCTGTTGTTGAGGCTGTTTGCCTCTCTTGTTCTTCAGACCCGCGTTGTAGCGGACTCCGTCGGTGGACTCCATCGCTTTGGCGAATTGTTTGGCCAAGCGTTGGCGTTGCCTTTGGCGGGCTCTCCTTGAGAGAGTCACCGCTCCTTTGGTGACGGAGGAATTGGTTGGAACCAGCTTGATCTGGTTGGAGATTGGTGGAGCCTCATCTGACGCAACTTTGGCGTCAATCGAGATGAGGTCGTCGTTGGTAGCTTCAACTTCTTCGTACCAACGCACCTTTCTGTTGGAAGAGAACTTGGACTTCTTGGACTTGCGGGGGGAGGTTGATCTAGACGAGGATGAAAGGTATTCCTCGAACTTGGTCTGATCGAACTCGTATTCGACCTCCTCCACGACTGGGATCAAGATCCGCGGCTGCGACGCTCCGATCTCGGCAGCGAGATCGGTGGCTCCCACTGTGGTCGCCAGATTGTTCGCTGGAAAATTCGTGTCTTTCTTTGTTATTGATTCCATTGTCATCTTGAGTTACAACTTTTTGAGTTACAAAAGATCCGGTCTTTTTATAAGATCCGGTTACAACGAAAATCAAATAAAAAGAAATGAAAAATTACAACTTTGTTTCCTTTTGTGTCGAACGAATCGCGAGCTCCTGTTTTGCGGTCGCTCGCTTTGTGGGTTCTTTGCCTGCGCCGGGGTTGTTTGCCGTGGACCACCGCGCGATCTAGATCCGGTCGGATCTACGCAGTACAACGGGTATTATTTCACCAAGGAAATAATAGCCGGGGAGGATTGTTTCACCAAGGAAACAATCGTCCAAGTCTCGGGATCTAAGACCAAGCTTAGATCCGGAGTGTAGCAACGTAGATCTGAGATCCGATCCTCTCGAACACCTGCCTTATTTGACGTTGATGATCGCCGAGCACCAGATCTGAAGGAGTGAGTCCCCGAAGTCCCAAAGTTTCAATCTTTTTTAAGTTCCGAGTCTCCAATCCAGCAGGGCTTCGCCTCTCTCCAAAATTTCCAACCTTTTAAAATGAACAACCCCCTCTCCTATTTATAGGTCGAACACCTGCCTTATTTGACGTTGATGATCGCCGAGCACCAGATCTGGATGTGCAAGTCCTCGAAGTCCCAAAGCTTGAATCTTGTTAAGTTCTGAGTCTCCAATCCAGCAGGGCTTCGCCTCTCTCCAAAATTTCCAA